ATCTATTAGAAAAATTGATTTTATGTTGATATTTTTAGGAGTGCAGAACAGATTAAGGGGCGAATTCAAGTGCAATGCTTGTCATGGTAATCGTAAGGCTCCTCTAAACCAGGCTGAATCACCAACTTTTCTCTCTTGGCGAGGGAGGGAACGCGCTACCAATTTTGGCGCGTTTATCGCACACGCTGGCTGAATGTCTGCTTTTTTTTTTTTTAAAGATTTATTTTATAGACGCGCGGCATTCAGCGCACATAAACTTTTCGGATAATTAATTAATTCTCGAATAGTATATAGACGTTTTCACTTAAATAAAAATTTCGCGTATATTTTGTAAACATATTCAAAATAACTTATTCTTTAGATGTTTCAGTTTCGTTAGCAGACTAAAATAAATAAGATATGAATAAAAACTTTCAATAGTGTCAAATGGGGAAATAGTTAAAGCGTAGAGTGTGCAAATAAATTTATCTTAATGACATTTTAACAAAAATTTCCATAAAAACACTGTAAATTCATACTAAAAAAATAACTTAAGAATATGTTGTCATTTTAGTCTGAGGTATATGGAAATAATTGTGCAAGACTCTGAAGAAACACTTTCTTTTAAATGTGTGAAATATTTCATAACATATATGGAAGAAGAAAGTACAGCATTCTGTGTTTTGGATGACTTTTCACCAAATGTAATATAAATACGAACTAGAAACCGTAATAAAAAGTCCCTTCCTCTCCAATCAGATCACCTTTGTGTTGCATTGTATTTGTAATACTTCTAAAAATCCAATTTTTACCTAAATTAAAAAACAGTTATTCCATAAAAGATAATAAATTTGAACGTATATATAGAATGAATTTTGTAATTTGAGTTATGTTACAAAATAATTCATAGTTTATATATTTTATACTAATAATTTAGATAAAACCTGTCCAATTTAAGAATGTGTGTTAACCACATTCTTAAATTGTAAAAGGACGACTTAACCACATGTAATTCATTTCAAAGCATAAAAGAAAGCTTATTTTTTATTTTACACAGCAACAGCATTTTCATGCAGTCAAGTTTTTTTAATTGTTAGTTATTATACATAATACTTAATTTTTAACACATTCTTATTAGAAAGCTCTTATTAGAAGCTTATTCTTATTAGAAATTAGTCTAAGAAACTTCTTTTTAAAGCCCCACAGTAATTGCAAAGAATGTCGTTAAATTTACAAAAGTATTGAAGATATATTGAACAGCATTATAACAAGAAACTACTGTACAAAATATGTAAATTTAACATAACTTCTTTTTTAGTATTTGCATAGTTTCCTCCAAATGAACCTTAATGGGAAGTTATCTTGCAAAAATTTAAAAGTATTAAAATGGCCTCTATTTAAGATGTAACTGCATTTATAATTATTTTGTAATTGTGAATAGATTATATTATTGCAATTAGATTATGCACTTACAACATAATTGCATAAAGTAATGAAATTAAGAGTTCACAGATACAATGTAATATAATTACAAAAGCAATTATCTAAATTGTAATTATAATCACTTATTTAATACCACAATATTATTACAATTCACAATGTAATTTAAATTGGGTACTATATTTGTATACCCTCCACTCAAAAGGAGGTACTGATAAGCCTGGAAGTTATTATTATCAACAAAAAGCCTGTTCAGGACAGTTTGATGACAATTTCCACCGGGCGAAAAGTACATTCTTAAGCCCAGGCAAATCATGACAATAAAAATCATTTAGTCTCATGATTCACTATATTTTCAAACCCTAAATTTGAATTTCTGCACCAAATTATTTACCTATATTTTAATATACTTTATGAATTATTAGAAGCGATATGGCAAATATCTTCTAAAAATAACTGTAAAATATTTGTATCCATTAATTGATTCAGATACACACTTTTATTATTTAAGTATATCAAAATAACAGTTTCATGTTCCTGAAATACAAAAGTTATGAAAAAAGTTAAAGTAATATTCTTAGAAGCATATGATATTAGTCACCAGCTGCAAAACAGTTAATTTTTTGCCCTAAATACAAGTTTATTACACAGTAGTCATACGTGTAACTTAATAACATGGTATATAAAAAATTAATGATAATAAGTTTATCAGAAATGAATTAATTCTGCAAATAAACTTTCTGCATTTGAAAATTTTCTACACCTGAGGGGAGGGAGAGATCTAGTAAAATTAGATTTATTATAACTTCAGTTGGACCAAATACCTTCTCTCTCTATATATATATGCATCACTAAAGAAATAAATAAAATTATCATGCTTAAAAAACAGATGTACCATACCAGTTTTTTTTCCCCTTGTTACCCTTTACATTGAGAAATAACAAACAGTACAACGCTGAAAAATACTATCTTTGAAATTTTATTTAAATGAAGAAACACACACCATCTTTTTATTTAAGCATTACACTTCAAAAACAGATACACATACCAATTTATTTTCACTAGCCTTTATACTAATAACATGCCATATAAAAATGAAAAGAATTATCCTTGAAATTTAGATAAAATGAAGTAACACAAGGATACACATTCTGAAAAATTTTATGCACACGGACATCTTTTTTCTATTGCATGTTGTCTGACATGATCCACAAGTGCCTAAAAATGTACCCAAAGGAAACACATTTCAATATTAACAAAAAATTGTTTACAGATTAAAATTCATTTCATTTCATACCAGTATTATAAAGATCATGCATGAAACAAATCTGCTTTCCCATACTTTTAAGTAAAACTTGAACTGAAATTTTATACTGGAAAATATGCTATATTTCTATATATTAGAAACAAGAAAATAATACCATAATAATATACTCATAGCCTAGCAGAAAGTAACATATATAACATCAAACACAGAAATTTATATACTCGTAGCCTAGGAAAAAGTAATACATATTACATAAAACACATAAATTATTTAATATAAAACATACATACCTTCTAAAATTATTTTACTTTTTGTTTCTTATTGGCCGATGCTGATGAATATGAAACGTTATGGGCTCTTTTGTTGATAAGATGCTGTGTAAGGCCTTTGCATCTAGTAATAAAAAAATTATCAATAATTACTTTCTTAAGATTACAGCATTCTGGCATGGCCACATGCGTACATTTATCAATTATTCTTTCAACTAATTCTTTTGTGATGGCTGATTGTAAACGAAGGAGTACATCTTTACATTTTTGAAATTCTCGTTCAGCTTCCCTACATATTTGATACATTCCTGAAGAGATGACCTTCAGTCCACCTTTATTGCTATGTTTTGTAAGAATTGTGCGATGCTCGGGTATGTCAGGTTCCAGCATGTCCTCTGAAATGGTCATAGCTGTTTTACAATTTTCACATATGCTTTTTTTTTTCAACAACTTATTATATATGGCTCCTGCGATGTAATGTATATCATTTTCTTCCACAGCTGGGGGCAAGCGACGTTTCACTGCCACTGCAGAAGAGGTAGATGGCACTACAGAATTGGAGATAGGATGCAAGACCTCCTTTCTGATAGCAACCTCTAATTCAGAAGCATCAAAGAGGCTGTGGTCACTTTCAGAACAATAATTTGGATTATTGATATCTGAAATGAACTGTGATAGGCACACTAATTTCAGTGCTCTCTCTTGGCTTGCAAAGCAGTAGGCTTTGCACCCAACTTTCGTCTAATCTGTGAAAAGGCATTTTCCAGCGCATCTTGTGTCAACCTGCCTGGTAAGAAAAATGTAAACCCCTCGGAAAATAATTCTTTTGAGAGTTTCACAACACTCAATGTGCTCATAATAATGCCAGTTTGAAATGGCTTCCATGCTTTCCCAAACTGAACAGTTTCAGTCACATGAATGAATTTCAATAAAATATTAAATTTCTCATCTTGATTTTTGATAGTGATGCCTTTTTTTGGATGCCTTGTAGTCATAATTGTAAACCATTCTGCTACAAGTCTCAGCCACCATGCAGAAGTTAATGCTTCTTTTGCAACTTGGTGTAAAATAACCTGCTTTTTCAATAGCAGCAGCTGTTTTTACAGAAAACAATTGCACAGCAGATGCCCCATTCATCGAGGAAAAGTGTGTTGGGAAGAGATGAACTCTGTTCAAGTGATGTAGAGATCTCAGGGCAGCATCTGCTTCTATCTCACTTGACCAGAGTCGTTTCACATACACTGAAGATACTATCCTCGATGGCAAGGCATGCTGCTGGCGAAATTCCTCTGGTAATATTATAATACTTGAAAGAAATGCATTTCTCATATTTTTAATGAGATGTGGTACATCTGCAATACTGTGAATGAAAACATCAGGTCCTCCAATGTTGTAATTTGTCTTCCTATCTCTCCTAGAGACAGACACATCCAATGATGACCACATTGCTCTGTTATTGCTTCCCATATCTGAAACAGAGGCTCTTACAGTTAAACCTATTTCTGTAGCTGCTACTACAGTTCTATGAATTAGATCTTTCATGTCAGAACCTGATGTTGAAGGCCCTGTTAATTCATTGGCAACAATCTGTTTCCATGATGTTTTAAGGCCTCTAAGCATTACAATAGTGTAATGCTTCCTAACATAACATTTCCAATGAATGACTTAGACGATGTATCAAAATATTGATATGAAGCTATTTCCATTTCGTCAACTAAAAGGCAGCAGTTCCTATCAAGCTCTTGATGAAATGAATGAACTTTTGTCTTGAGGAAAAAAAAACAAATTTTCTAAAATGCCGAAATTAATTTTTATGTCCCTAATCCTCCTGTTCAAGGTACTGTACGATGGTGCTGGATATCCAGTACTTCTGAGGTAATTATATCCATGTTTGCTCAAAGCAAATCGCATCTTCAGTCCTTTTATAATGGACTTTTCTGACCAGTTCCTTTTTGACTGCACAGCAAGGGTTCCTACTTGCTCATCGGACAAAAATGATGTCAATTTTGCATCTTTTTCTTGAAGCTGTTGCTCAAGGAATTCTATTTTTTTTAACAACTCTTCATTTGAAGCAGGTAGAGTTTCCTAAATTCAAAAAGAAATAGTAAACATGTTATGCTGTGATTATTTTTTTAAACAATGGTTGATGAATTAATATATTTGTAATAACAATGATTTTTTCAACAATTTTTTTGGAGAATATTAAATAATTTACCACTTCAGTATTTGGCTTAGGACATCTTACTTCTCTTATCCTCTTGTCAGTTACAGATGGTGGTGGATTTGGAATGCTAAAGAGTGTTGGTACTGCAGTTTTTCTTAGTTTTTTAACTATCTTTGCATAGTGACTCAAATTGAGATTCCTCAAAATGATCCTGTAAATACATAAAGTAATAAAAAAAAGTATACAAAATAAATAAAAGTACAAAAAACAAACCACACGAAAGAAATGTGAGAAAAGTGTTTCACACAGTGAGGTTGTGCCAAAGGCAGCAAGCATGAACTGTAAGTAAGTATAGGCAATAAATAAATATGCAGGTAATTAAATTAGGCCCAGTATTATAAAAAACTGAAACAATAAACAAACCATGTCTAACATATCAGCAGCAGCATCTTGTAAGCTTGGGCAGAATTTAATTATCCAATATTTATTTTTTGCCTATAATTTAAAGTGTTCTTTAGAACATTATCCAAAAATTAAATGAAGTAGTGTTTTGCTATAAAATTAAAAACAACTAAAATAAAACTTTATATTTCTTGCTATAGTGCTCTTACAATAGATAAGAAAATATGAGTTCACTTCACCCAACTTTTAAGATACGATGTAAATACTGAAATGATTCTAGAGTAAAAACTCAACTCAAAAAATATCCGGAAAGCTCTTGAAATTTTGCATAGTTGAGCATATAAAGAATGAAATACTGTAATAAGTGAATGGAAGAATAAACTACTAGTCTAAAATCATAAAAACAGTTCATCTTATTTGTATCAACTTGACAATCAAAAGCCAATATTTAATATTATGCACGATTTTGAAAAAAATGTATGCTGCTGATCTTTGGAATGTGATAATGGGTGATTTTTACAATGGTTGTTATGTGGATTAAGACTGCAAGTTCAGACTTTAAATATGAACAATAGTAATCTGAAAATTTTAAGTAGTAATTTTATATCCAACAATCTTTGCCAAATAACTTCCATGTTTTAAGTAATTAAAAAAAATATTTTTAACCACTTGTTATTAATTTTATAAAGTACATTCTATAATTTCAATTTTATTTACTTTCATCTATTTTAATGTTTGCCATTATAAATTTCACACTACTTTTTTAAGATTTCATAGTTGCTAATTAAACTTCCTTTACAATTTATTTTATACATACATTCATATTTTATGTAAGGAAGGGATTTATGTGCAATAGATATACAGTGAAAATCATTTAACAGAAAATTGAGGGGACTGAAATATTTTTTCGTGTTAAAGAATATTGAAAAAAAAAAAAAAAAAATATATATATATATATTCAACAAAATTAAGCTTATTAGAGTACATTTTATTTACATAGATATGTATATATGCATGCATTTAATAAAAATCAATGAAACAAAAACATTCACAGGAATTTAATACAAAATTTTCAAGTTTTTTGAAAAACAAAACATTTATTGAGTTTTGGGAAAATAATCTGATATTTTTCTTTGCATTGTCTTTTTTAGCATCAAATTGTTCAATGTCGAACACTTTGTTATTCATTTCACCATTGGAATGTGCGTCTAAATAACTGTCCATACTTTTTATGATGTTCCTCATTTCGGATGACATGGGAACAGAAACTGCATTATTCATTTTACTTTCGTCATCAGAATCTGTATCAATGATATTTTTTTAAGCTTTGAACAAACTCCAAAATAACTGTTCGCCATAATTGGGGCTGTACACACATTATCATAAACTACTGCAACGAATTCTTCCGATAGCACAGTAGGACAGTTCATTAATACAGAAACTTTCTCAACATTTTATTAAGTGTCAGCTCAGTTTCAATATCCTACTTCTCTATTTCTTTTGGCACCAAAGAATCTGATACTTTTGAGGATTGTGTGTAATGAAAATCATTTTCATTCATCCTTGCAGTCGCTGAATTCCATGCAGTGCAACATATGAGCCAAACTCGCTAATTTTTACTCACACTGCCATATACTCGTCACCGAATTCCAAAGCTAACTAACTGATGAGAGATGTTTGTGTGGCGTTTGTAGACGTGGAATATGAAACTGGCTCCTGTCACAGGCTATTCCGAGGGTATTTCAAAGCCAAATTAGCCTCTTTTCTACGAAACATGTGAAACCACCTTTCATTTCACAACTCGCTTAAATCTCGCCTGCGATGCCAGCGTTTTCTGTATTTTGTTCATTTCCAGAAGGGATATCTTTTCATGTTAAGAGAAACAAAATGCATGAAAATACATAGTAGTTTATCGGGACCGTTGCATTATTTCATATTAACCCATATTTCGCCTTAAGCGCTTTTCCGTTAAACATATTCCCCTGCATACAGATGTGTTTGGACTATGTATATACAAATAATTTTTAAAAATGAAAATTTATAATCCTTCAAAAAATTTTTGTGCGTTATGCTGCTAAAAATTGGTCAGTAAATATATAAAGAAAGAAATTTAGAACCAATTTTTCAGAAAGAATAAAAATTTAAATTAAAATGAACTTGATAAAATCCTGTAAATGTAGAATATCAAATATTCTTTTTAGACAAATAAAATCTTTTTAAATTGGAAGATATTTTTAATGATTTTACTTCCCACCTTTTCCCTTTGCTACTGCTGTTTGATAATAAGTTCTAGTAAAGTTTCTGCAGGATTTTAATTTTTTCTACATTTTTAAGGGCATGTTTTCATTTTTTTTAAAGATTCTTTTTAGATTAGAAAAATATTTTTAAGTTGGAAGATTATTTTTAATGATTTTCCTTCGCTTTGAGGAGGACTAAAATTTTTTGGGTGAACTATTAAGATAAAAAATATATTGAAATGGTTCATTAGCTGATTCTGGATACAGAAAAGCAAGGATTTTGTTTTAGAAGGGGAAATGTAATTAAATTCGACATACCTCCTCTTGACGATATTATGTTGAAGTTGGTTGGATTCCCCGCCTTTCTTGTTCTTTTATACTGTTTTTTGGTTTTTCTTGTGATGGTTTATTTTAACATGTTGACTGCCGGTTTATGTTAACATGTTGCATGTTGACTGCCGAAGTTTATTTTAACATGTTGATGGTTTATTTTAACACGTTGACCGGTGACCAACACTCGACTTGGCTACAGCGCCGTGGGTGCCACCGGCAATGCGACCAATAGTAAAATACATAATTAGAATAAATATCGATATTGATAAATTTTTAAATAGTACCATTTTTACTATAACGATTTCAAGAATAATAAATCATAAAAATTTTAATTACAAATCGTAAAAATGGTCTACAGATGTTTGGGGCTCACCGGTGACCCCCAGCATGAAAAATGCATTAAGCACGATTATATATAACATTATGTTCTGCAGATAATATTTCAACATAATATATATCGCATAATAAAAATTTCGAGTTGGCGTCATGGGTCAAATCACGTAAAATGTGCGCTGCAGTCAACGTGTTAATTTTTACATTTTAAAGTATTCTTATTCTACATTTTTAGGAATTTATGAAGATCATTTGAACTTCAATTTTTACTTCCTTGTACGAAGTAAAAAGGAAGTATTGTAATCTCGAAAAGTTTCAGGCAGCATATTTCAACGAAAATATCCATTTTGACCGCTATCGAATGCAATTTAACGATGTTTTTGCATGATATCTGTACGTAAAAACAGGATAAAAGACTCGTTTCCTCCCCCCAAAAAAAATATAAAACTGCTTTAAAATTAATTCTGAAGAGAATTTTTTGTGGCATCTGTACGTACGTACGTACGTACGTATCTCGCATAACTCAAAAAGAAGTAGCCTCAGAACGTTGAAATTTTGTATATAGGACTGCTATAACATGTAGATCTGCACGTCGTATTTTGGTTGCAATCGGCTGCACCAAACGTATATAAATATATTTATACAGTCAAAAGTCGTTAATCCCGACTCGTTGGGACTTCCACTATACTACACTATTCCCTTCCACTACACTATTCTTCTTTCTTTTCTTTCCATATTGTTATCAAAAGCCGAGTAAAAAGATTTTGCTACATCTTTTTGACACTCGAGAATAAAATACGATCTGTGGGTGTGGATTTCTTTAATGTAAAGAAATTTTTAAAACCAAGAATCGCATAATTTTCTTCCCTTCCCCAATAATATGAAAGGTATAAAAGGAGAATTAATTTTATTTATTTATTAATTGCTTTTCGTAAAATGTTTATTTTTTATGATCAGAATTTCGTAATTTGTACTTTTTAGTTATTTAAAAGATGGCAACAAACTTGCGTAAAATGGGAAAGTGAGACGAAATTGTAAATATTTAGCGAACCAAATTATCCGATCTATATCCAAGTTAGACTTGAAAATATTGTTAGTCTTTCCAACTAATATAGAGTTCAAGAACAGAACTGTAATAATACTGCATTTATATGTCAGTGTCAACTGTTTTTCCAGTTTCGCTGAAGTTTTGTAAATTTTAATGTATAAAGTATGAGGGACTTAATTCAGTTATTCTTCATTGAAGTTCTTTAAAATAAATATGGAAGTATAATGTTGCGTCATGCTGTCATATACCATTTTATATGAGTCTAGCTTATAATTTCTGTTATCATTGCTATCATGGTGTAGTAATGGGACGGAAAATTTGAAGTTATGTTTAGTTTATATAATTTTTATCCAGCATAATTTTTAATTGTGCGCAATAAAAATAAAATTGCTTGGAAGCACTTCCGCAGAGAACCCGGTAAATGTAAACATCGCCAACTTTGGCGATAATAGTTCAAACCTGGTAACACATCAGATTTATTCTATTCGCTTGTTCGAAGTTCGCAACCATTCCTCTTCCGTTCATTTTGTTGAATTGTCACTGTCATTGTTTGCATTTGCAGATTTATATTATTCTTCTCTTATTTATTATTATTTTTTCTGAATTATTTAACAACGAATAGATAGAAATATTTTCGTAGATAGATGCCGGTTTTCGGTTCGGGATGAAAGGAGGGGTGAATGCTAATTTGTAACACGGCTGTTCACCTTGTGTTCTTAATTATTAACAGCTCTAAGAACCATGAGGTTCCCAACCTCTAAAATAATTTGTTTTCGTAGACCGCAAAAATGTGCATATGCATTTTAAATAATTAAGTAATGGTTTAATTTTTATTATTGGTTATTGTCATCTAAAATTATGAGAATAAATCAATTTTTATGGCGTAAAATTTTAAGAAGATAATATATTGTTAATGCTTTTCTAACAATAACCTTTCAGAGAATGGCAGGTGTGACATACATAATGATTAAATTGAAATAAAAAATATTATTGATTATCTAAGATGACAGAATAGTTTGATGCATCACCATGGTCATCAAATTTAGCAAACCACTGCTGGTGTAAGGAATATATTGTTTTCTGTGTTAACTTGAATTTAAGACAAATTTTTTTCGTATATCACGTTTAACCGGTTAATTTCAGTATATTAATACTAATTTATATTTTTTCTAATGAATTTTTATTTCCGTTATAAATGCTTATATATTGTCTTATGCTTAATAATATATTCTTTTCTGTGCTAACTTGAATTTAATACAAATTTATTTTCATATATCACGTTTAACCGGTTAGTTTTACATCTACATGCTTATTATCTGTGAATTTTTACTACCATATGCTTAATATATTGTTTTGTCTGCTAACTTGAATTTACATGCACTAAAAATCACGTTTACAAAAATATCACGTTTACAGCTCGGCTCATCGTCGATGAACCACGAGCTTGGCGAGTAAAAATGCAACGGCGCCAACGGGTTCTCTGCGGATAAAAATCCTTTCCGGGAGTTTTTTTTTTTTTGGGGGGGGGGGGGGGAATCTTTGATGGGGAAATAAAAATTCAAAAAGTTTTTTTAGCAGTCTGAAAGCAGAAATAAGTGCATATGCATGTGTATTTATTTTTGAGGAGTGAGTAGGTAAAATTTTCTTCAAATACAGTATATATGATATTATGCAGTTAATATGTATATGTAACATTGAGACAGTTACTTTAAAGGTAAAATTATCAAGATTTTTATCATTTCACTGAAAATTATTTTGTTCAACATATTACTGCGTAAATGTTCTGACCCATGTAAATCCATAGACTTCACATATAAACACATTGAAACGTTTCCACAATTACCGTCAATATCCTCAACCAATTTATGTCACTATTTTAAGTTTCTAGAGCTACAGTTATGGACAAAGCTAATCTGAGAATATCAAGAATAATAAGAAATCTTTAATGACTGATTCATGTATTTATTTATGCTGAGCATCAGTTGGAAACTGGTGCATCAGATTTGGGTTATTTTTGCTGTTTTGTTTATTTTAGTACAAAACTTCTGACCTTTTACTAATTCAGAAGTCAAACAACAAAAATCAGCGTTAATTTACAAAATTTTCACTGTGAAAATTTTGTAAATTAACGCTGATTTTTGTTGTTTGACTTCTGAATTAGTATTTATTCGGCGTGTTATTGTGTCTTAATTTCTGACCTTTTATTTATTTCTTTATATATGTGTCTGTATTTTTTAGGATATGTGGATAGATGATTAATGTATCCAGTCTACATGCCATACTAGTTCTTAAATTTTTAATTTGCTATATTGTAATTAGAAAAGTAAATTAAGTAGAAATTTGTTAATAAAATATTTGGCTAGACTGGAGATTACGGTCTAGTCGCCAAGTGAAGTGAAATCGCGTTAAATCTGGTAACCTCTTGGTTTAAATACGAATCAGTGCTTTCTGATCATTTAGTGCTCATTTACTGCTTATTACAATTTCTTAAATTTCGCGATAAAACACTTTCCTCCATTTTGCTACTGTCTTAAAAATGGTATATGATGTTGTGAAAACTTTTAATATTGTTGATCCTATAAAATACATAATTATTAACTTTGAAACACTTAGGGTAAAGTGCAGAATTGCCCACTTATTTGTTTGGTGCTTGGAACGAACTAGTTTTGCCTGAAATGCTAATTCAGAGACATGTTAAATGCATTTTTAGTAGTCAGATACAGGCTCTAAGTCTCATTTAAATTTCGTGATTCAGACACTTTCAGATTCCATAAATAGTATTTCAACCTCACCTGCTGGAGAATAAGATATTTTCTGATTATCAAAATTAAAATCTCCCAAATATTTTACTAAAAATCTGCAAAATATTTTAAATTGCCAGCTCATAATTATTTTCAAAATTAAGAATTTACCTGGTGTTAAGGACACTAGTAATTCCATTTATATTTTTTTACTGTGATAGAAATTTTTAATTCAAATTAATTATTCTTAGTAATTTTCTATGACCGTAAATTTTACATTAATTTCCTTCATTCCTGTTTACAGTTTAGTCTGTGTATTATATATCTTGTGTATTTTACTATTGGCTTTAAAAGACATCATAGCTTTGATATAACACTCATATTATCTCTCTTATCCTCCAAACTGCTTATTTTCAGTTACTACCAAGGCCCAGTGACAGGATGCTGTACTAATTATTATTTTTTTTTTATTTAAAAGACTCAGTTTGATGAATAACTTATTTTGATTCTGGTTTGATTATTTGAATATGGTAAACTGCATAATGGCTGTCTTTAGACAGGAGGGATGCCTTCATAGAGGACATTTTAAGTAAAACTGGCTCGCATTCATATTGCACACAGATCAGACTGCAAAACCCTGCCATGCATAGAGGACATTCTAAGTAAAACTGGCTCGCATTCATATTACGTACAGATCAAACTGCAAAACCCTGCCATGCATTTTATTTTCCTGATTATTTATATCTGTTCTTGAATGAAGTTTCTTAACCATATGGATGATATATAACTTCAAAATGTAATTGTAATAGTATACATATTAATATAAAATAATGTACCCTTTACAAAATTTTTCCTCTCGGAATTCAGTCATGATCTTGCATTATAACTGATAAATATGATAAACTGGAATAATAACTAACTGGAGAAATTAGTTTTTGATATTAATTTTGATCCCAGTTCTTATATTTTGATTTGTTCCAAATTGGGTTGGCCTGCTTCAAAACAGTAGTTTTTCAGAGTGTATAACCTACTATATTTAAATATCCATTTATTATTTTTAATATTA